ATCAATGAGAGAGAAACATTGATTCAGCTGCCTCCTGCACTCCCCCTACTGGGTATGTGCCCCCAACCAAGGTATATGCCCTTGACCGGAATCGAACCTGGGACCCTTTAGTCTGCAGGCCGACGCTCTATCCACTGAGCCAAACCGGTTAGGGCAAATCTTTAATTCTTGATGTTCCTTTTCTTCTGCCTTCTGCCATAACTGTTCTTTCATCTCCCCCAATCCTCCAGAACTGCAGTCAACCATGCAGTTGCAAGGGCCAGCACACTACTTAGGAAGGTAGGCATAGTGTGACTTTCAAGTGCAACTCTGTGCCAATCTTTTGGCAGGCCCTGACAGATTACCGGGCAGAGCTCCGGGATGACCCAATCATCAACACACACTTGGCCAAGCTGTATGATAACTTACTGGAACAGAATCTGATCCGAGTCATTGAACCTTTTTCCCGAGTACAGGTAAGAACCCTCCTGGGGACTCGAGCCCCTCTCTGGCTAGGCATTGCCATTGCAGCCCCTCCTTCCCCACACCTGTCCACAACAGGAACTCACTTCAAGGATGTGCCTGGTGGGCAGAGACCACCAAGAGGTTGGGATTCTTTTTTAAGAAATTTTACTTACTGATTTTTGAGAAAGAGAGAAAAGCATCCACTTGTTCCACTTATTTATGCATTCATTGGTTGATTCTTTTTTTTTTTTTAAATATATTTTATTGATTTTTTACAGAGAGGAAGGGAGAGGGATAGAGAGTTAGAAACATTGATGAGAGAGAAACATCAATCAGCTGCCTCTTGCACACCCCCTACTGGGGATGTGCCCGCAACCAAGGTACATGCCCTTGACCAGAATCGAACCTGGGACCCTTCAGTCCGCAGACCAACGCTCTATCCACTGAGCCAAACCAGTTAGGGCCATTGGCTGATTCTTTTATGTGTCCTGACCGGGGATTGAACCTGCAATCTTGGCATATTGGGACGACACTCTAACCAACTGAGCAACCTGGCCAGGGCCTGGGACTCATGATGGAACAAGAATCCAGGAGAGAGGCTGTTGAGATTGCCGCTGCCTGTATTCAGTGTAGTCTCCTTGCTTTTGTAGTGAGCACCATGTGGTGAATGTTTTCTGAGTGTGTGGGGTAGGAGTGTGTTTATTGTTTGTGTGATGAAGGCAGATGGACAGAGCACAGGTGTGGCCAAAGGGAATTTGGCCCTATGGACACTCAGCAATCCCCACCCCCCAACCCCTATATGAGAGGCAGAGGTAAAACTTTCAGTGTTGGTGTCTCTCTGCCTTTCCTTTTAGATTGAACACATATCTAGCCTCATCAAACTCTCCAAGGTAAGGAGTCCTGAGCTTGTCTTGGGGGTAAGGATGGGGAAAGGGGTTTGTGGGGGGCTGGCATTACACTCAGTGGGCCTTGTTGGAAGGCTCCCAAGCTCCTCAGTGGGGCATGGGGACCATGGGCTCAGAACTGGAGTTGCCTTGTTGCCATTTTGTTTTCAGTTCATCTGCCCTAAGTTCTTTTTATGTATAAAGGCTTTCATGTCGGTGTGATCTCTGACTAGTGGAAATTGGCTCCTTTAATCAAGTGCTTTGATTTTAGGCCGATGTGGAAAGGAAATTATCACAGATGATTCTTGACAAGAAATTTCATGGTGAGTAACACTCATATAGGAGGGGAGCTGGTGGTGGGGATGAAATGGTTGAAGAGGCATCATGTTCTTGTTTACTTTGAAAGAAGATAATTTCATTGTTTCACCTGGTAGTTCCTTGGGATCCTTGCCCCTCATCCTCCGGGGTGAGAGTGTCTAGTAAACACGTATACATGGAACAGGGAGATAGGTGGGTTCTGCTTCCTCTCCTCTCTGGAGAGATGAGGCAGCTGGGGAGTGGGTGTGTCTGAAATGTGCTTGTGTCTAATCCCATCTCTTACATGGGTTGCCCTTGTGTTTCCTGCAGGGATCTTGGACCAGGGGGAGGGTGTTTTGATTATTTTCGATGAACCCCCAGTAGATAAAACTTATGAAGCTGCTCTGGAAACAATTCAGAACATGAGTAAAGTAGTGGATTCTCTCTACAACAAAGCCAAGAAACTGACATAGGTGAGTGCTGGCTCCAGGACCGGCCGGCAGCTCTGTCCTCTGCCTGTCGAGACTGAAAGCCTGCGGTGGCTCTCGGCCCCTGATTGACACTGCTCTGTCTTCTCTTACAGAGTTGGATCTGTAGCGGTCCTTTGGCGAGTGTGTGTGGCGGGAGAGTGAAACCTTTGGGGAAAATGCTAGGAGATTCTTTTTTCTTTTTGTTCTACTTTTCGCTCGGAAAGTTTTTAAATCCTCATTTGGTGCATCTGTATTCCAGCCGATAGGTGTGCCAGTTTTCATGTAATCTTTACTGGCCCAACTTGGGAGTGGGGACATTACTTACAAAAAAAAGAAAAAGAAAAAAAAGATTATTCTAAATAAAAGGAAAAGGCTTACACTACCTAAAGCTGTGCTCTCTGCCTCCTGGGAGAGGGCTGCCAAGCCAGGCGCTCCGCCAGCCACCGGGCTCCCAATCCACCCGCTGGCAGCACCTCTCCTCTTCAGAATTGGGTGTTTGCCTGACCATCAAAGCAACGACTTTTTATTCTGTTTGTACTGAACCAAAACAAACAACTGTGGATAGACTGCTGTTTTCTTTTTTATTTGAAACGAGGCGTTTCCGTGTTCTTTCCCCTGTCATACGGCTGTCCACCCACCTTCCCTCCACAAAGGCTCCAGCAGACCGGCTGAAGGTCCTGCCACCGCCCCAGCAGCAGCAGCAGCTCCGCTCGGACCTGGGAAGGACGGGACAAGGCCAGGAGCTAGTGTCCACCACGGCCACACGGGAGCATGTGGGCCCCCGCGGGGCCTGCTGTGCATGTGGCTCTTTTTAACACAGTAAACTAGATTAGACGTCAATGTTTTAATTGCCCCTCTCCTCTGCTCTTTCTCTTCCTTCTCTTCTCCCCTCTCAGCCAGGAGACCATCACGTGTCTCTTCTTCCTCCTTCCCCCTCGGGAAGGTGGGCTGTTGGACGTCCATTAGCTTCCCTACCTGTCTCACTCCTCTCCTGCTGGCCGATGGATTTATTCCGTTTTAAAACAGTGAACATCGGAAATGAGACTGGGGGGTGTGTTTTTATTTTTGTTGTTGGGTTTTCGAGCAACCTCATGTCCCCTTCCCAGGGAGCCTCTTTCCTTTCTTAGAACTGGAAGGGGGGAGGTGAGCCTGCGTACCGCATGCTTTGTCTGTGGCGAGGTCACACAGTGGAACCTCTGGGTGCTCAGCTCCCTCTTCCTCCTCCAGCTCTTGTCTTCTCCCTCCCTCTCCCTCCTGCTTCCTTCCTGCTGGCCTCCTTTTGTTTTTCTTTCCCTTTCTCAGATTATCCTTCCAGGTTTTCGTAATAAATTTATATTTTGTAAAAGGATTTTGTTGTACCAGGTTTTGCATCCTCACTGAATCTGACTGGCTCTTATTTTCCTCTCCAAAATCAGGTTTTTATTCTCAACATCTCTCCCCATCATGTCCAGTCACTGTTTTGGTTTTGGCACCATCAATATCAAATGTACAAACGGTTCTTGCTAACCAACACCAGGTATATCTGATGTTCAGATGAGTTCCAATAAAAACAATTTTTTTTTCAAAAGTGTCTTTTCTTGAGTGCTGGAGGGCTTCCCGTGAATGCAGGCAGCTCTGTGGAGCCCTCTAGACTGGCCACAGGTGCACTATCATCTGCTTCCTGGGAGACCCATAGACGGTGCTGTACTGAGGGGTCTGGGTAAGAGAGTTGGTCCGTGAAGCCTGAAATGGGGGATGGTGCTCAGGTATCTTTTCTGTTTTTCCAAGGCACCGTGGACATGGGGTTTGGGTATATATATGTAATATCCTGAGCCTACTTCCTCTGCACGATGCGGATGGCGCCTCCGTGGTGGGTAACTGTGGTTTGAGGGTTCTATGAAGTCATGGAAATGCAAGTGCCCGAAGAGGCCTGACAACTCGTGGTGGTTTTGTTTCCATTTGGAATCTTCAAGAGCGGTGATTGCCTCACACACCTCAGACCTGGGGATGGTCCCGAGGGCTCGGGCCCCTGGGAGGGAGGGGAGCTCTAGCTGCCAACTCTACTTCCGTGAGAGCAATTGCTATTCTCAGTTTTCAGTGCTGTGTCTCTAGTTTTGCTTGCAGGAAGAGTTTTGCTTCAATAAAGAACTTTAAAAAGAGATTCCAAAGGTATCTTCAGAGCTGGAGCACAGGGGAGGGTTTCCCATGCCCCGGGCAGCCCCGACTGGCAGCAGCCTGTCCTCTGCCCCCTTTGCAGGTCGCTCCAAGGGGAACCCGAGCCACGTGGCTGTTGAGCTCCTGCAGCGGGGCTAGATGGAGTTGCGATGCACTGCACATGTAAACCTAAGACGTAGCATGAAAAGAATGTAAAATAGCTCAGCCTTTTTATATGTCGAAATATTTGAGCATTATTGGGTAAATAAAATATATTATTAAAATTCACCCGTTTCTTTTTACTCTTTTAATATGACTACTAGGAAAGTACCTATGTGGCTTGCATTTGTGGCTTGTGTTACTTTTTCGTGTGGACGGTGCTGCTCTAGACTGAGCACTGCTTCCCATCCAGGCTCAAATAAGCTGGGTCTCGGCACAGCTGAGAGGGTGGCCTAGGCCCGCTCACTCGCCTGGGACCCTTTGTGGCACCAGCCTTCTTGGTACCGGGACTTGCTTGTGTGAATGAGATGGGATGGTGTTGGGAGCAAAGGCTGAGGCTGATGAGCAGGCGACTGCTGGTTATGTAACCTGTGCTGCCCAGAAGGGCCACTAGGGGCTGCTATGAGATCCCTGGAAGAACAAAGCCGGCTTCCTCAGGGTTAGCCGGGCTTTATTTGGAACCCTTTCTGGAAGCCAGCCGGCTAGGTCCTTGGCCTCCCTCGGGGTGATATGAGAAGGGGGCATGTAGAGGGCAGGGACTCTCCTGTGATACACGGGCAGCCCAGCTCAGCGGTGCAGATGACAAGCAGGCTGGCCCTGCCGGCAGCAAGAGATAGGCTATAGGATAAATGAGCTGATGGATGGGGGTGGGATTTGGAGATCTTCCCTGCAGCTCTTTGGAAGGAAACAGCTCCGCATCATTCAGCTGGGTCTGCCTCCTCCCGGGTCCTTGATTCTGCCATTTCTGGCAGATTGCTGCCCTTTCTTCCTTACCTCGCGGTTGGAGCGGTGATGGAAGCTTGGTGGTGGTGGTGGGTTGAGTGAGCAGAGGAGCCGTTTGGTGCCTTGAGACAGGCAGAGCTTGACTGGACGGGTTCTGGACAGCCTCTCCCCAGTCACAACAGCAGGTGGGCTGGCGACACTACCCCATTCATGCTCTGCCTGCTGCAAATACATCTTTGTCTTTGACAAGTGTGAGGAGGCTGGGGTAATGCTGCTAAGGGCTCTTTTTGAAGGTGCCGGGGAAAGGCAAAAGGACAGAGTATGGCCAGGCTGGAACCAGTCCAGGCAAATGTATGCTTCCTTGGTTTGGAAAAGGGAGTGTGATGAAGTGGAGCTCGGTACTGCCACCATTAGTCGGAATTGCTAGAATTAAATTTGTAGGGACAGGTAACAGGGTGGATCCTAATGGTTCTAAGGGGTGGGTTACAGCCTTATAATTCTAGGCATATTTTGGGAAATGAGAACCACTTAACCTTTGCTTAACACCAGAATCTGAAGGGGACCTGAGATACAGAAAAGGCACTGTGGACGTGGGCCACCTCGGGAGCTGGGTTTCTTCCCAAGGGGTGGAGATGACAAGGCTGGGTCCAGCTTTGTCTGAGTCACTGGGGAGAGTCAGTGGGCCAGAGGACGGGAAGCTTAGGACTTAGAGCTTCTGACTATAGAAAAGGGTTGAAGAGACTGCCATTTGAAAAGCAGGTGGGAGTTGTACACTGGAACATTCAGAGGGAGGGGCACATTGAGCTAAGGGCCTGCCTTCAGACTACGCTGACAGCTTCTGTGGATGTTTCTGAAGGGCTGTGGAAGAAGGAGCCCTCGGCAGAGAGCAAGGCATCTTCTACTGTATAGTCATCATGCTCTGTAAGCATTCAGTTGCCACTATTGATAGATCTCTGGGTAGCACATAGGCAGATTCTAGTACTTTGTGATGTGGCATTGTTCTAAATGGTACCAGATTTCTGTTCTGCTTAAGGCAGTCGTTAGAGCTGGCCCAGGCCGACAGCCTGGCGTGCTGGAGTGGGCTGGTGTCAGGGAATTCGATATCCTCTTTTCTGTGTGGCCACTTCTTCGTCACTGGGTCCAGAGGTGGTAATTTGAAGTAAGATATGTTTCCCAGGTTTGTGGTCAAATCTAAATCTCCAGAACCAAACTAAAAGAGTAACAAATGAAGGATCTGGATTCTTGTCTGTGAAGGTAACAGTTCTTATTAGAACCAGAATTTCATTCAGAATTAAAAATTTTTACCTGCACCAAATCTTCAAATTACGATCAGAGGCTGGTTGGAGAAGCAGTTGCTTCAGTTTTTACTGTGAGAGGGGGCGGGAAATTTCGAGGTCACATATGTGATGGGCTTAGTATTGGCTCATCTTTGGGGCAAGGGCCCAGCCAGCGGCCTCGGACCTGTCACAGGTGTGGTGTGGCACAGCCAGTCGCTGTTTGTGGAACGGCCCCAGCTGCCTACGCCTCTTTAGCCTGGATTTCTAAGACCCGCCCGGGCCGTGAGCATTGACCTGGGGTGACTGAACGGAGGTCCTGAAGGGGAAGGAAATAAAGGCAACGGGGCAGTCCACTTGGGATGCGCGTGGCACCCAGGTGGCCTCTGCCAAGGATTCGCGTTCCTCCCACATTGTTTTCCGGGGAAAGAGGATGTTAAATGGCAGGAGGGGCTCGGGGCCCCGGCCTCCGTGGATGGCTTCTCGTGCGGCTCGGGTGGCAGCCTCGGCCAGGGCAGGCCCCGAGT